AAACCTCATCTTTCTCCCGCGGAGCAGCTGGTAGTTTCAAACCGCTGACCTTAAGGTTCGCAGCCCGATTCGTAACCACTACGCTACCAGAGCTCTTGAGTTAGAAAAACAAAAGGGAAGAACATGCTCAGAATTTTTCAAGCTGAATAAACTGAATAAAATACTCAAGCCTCAACTTGCAATATTTAAGGATCCTGGTATGGCATTGTGGGTTAATGCACTGGACCACAAGGTCAGTTTGAAACGTAAGGTCAGATATTCAAATTCACCAGCTGCTCCTCAGAAACCCTATACAGGGTCACTATGAGTGTGAGCCGAAAACGGCACATAACAACCTAGGCAAAAGCTTTTGACTGTGTGGATCATGACAAATAATGACCAACATTGAGTAGAACGGGTATTCTGGAACACTTCTCTGAGCTCATGAGGAACCTATACATAGAACAAGAGGTGGTTGTTCAAACAGAGCAAGGAGACACTGAATGGTTTAAAATCAGGAAAGATTTGCATCATGGTTCTATACTTTCATCACACTTATTCAATCTGTATGCTGAACATAGAATGTGAGAAACTGAATTATATTGGATTATATGAAGACTGTGGCATCAGGTATGGAGGAAGACTCAATAGCAACCTGTGATATGCAGATGATACAACCTTGCTTGCTGAAAGCAAAGAGGTCTTAAAATACTGATGAAGATATGGGTTGCAAATCAATGTAAAGAAAAGAAAATTGTCACCACTGAATCATGATAAATGGAGATAAGCGTGAAAGTGTCAAAAATTTCATTTTGCCTGGTTCAATCATCAGCGACTGAATTTGCCACAAGACCTGGCATTGCTTCGTTCTGTTGTGCATAAGGTCGCTCTGAGTCACAACCAATTCATTGGTACCTAACAACACAAAAACAGCAAAACATTCAAGAGCACATACGTCACTTGGGGACAAAGGTGCGTCTGGATCATGTTATGGTATTTCCAATCACATCATTTGGATGAGAAAGCTGGATAATGAATAAGGAAGACTTGATGAATCAATGCATATGAATTATGGTGTTGATGAAGAATATTCAAAGTACCATGGTCTGGCAGAAGAAGGAAAAAGTATTCTGGAATGCTCTTTAGGAGTCATGTTGGTGAGACTAATATCTCTTATACTTTGGACAAAATGTCAAGAAGAACCTGTCTTGGAGACAATTTTGGTAAAGTGAAGGATTCAGCAAAAAATATACACCCCCAAAGAGTTGGATTTATACAGTGTCAAAAATACTGGGCTCAAATATAACAATTGTGAGGATGATGTAGGATCAGACAGTGTTTTGTTCTGTTGTACATAGGGTCACTAAGAGTCAGAACTGACTGATCAGCACTTAACAACATAACAACTTAAATAAATAGTGCTAATTTAATTGTTCCTAAAGGAATTCTTAGCATTTGAGTTTCATAATGAAACTTTATGCCTTATGTATTCTTTGAGAGTCTGCCAGTATTGATCTCAGTCAAAAGATTTGTAAATCATGGATTCCCAACAATTAAATTGTTAAAATGGAAGTAAAAAGTTACTTGGAACAATAAACACTTCATTTATTTATTGGGCCTATTTACAATATCTACATATTACACGATAGCTGGAATGCTATGTTACATACATTATACAGTGCACAAATGAATTTAGTCTGGATAGGTTGTTAACAGATTTATTCTCCATTGTTTCCAAAATATGACTGAAATTTTATTTTTC